TATAAAAATCAGAAGGCTATGGCAAATCGCCCCCCCCCTCAAAAAAAGCAGTTTCTGGGACTTACAGGGGGCCACAATGAGAGAGACCGGCTCTTTCGGCAGGATGGTTCTGGCAAAGATATACTGGGCGTGGCAGATGTAGTCATTACGGCTGTCCGTGGAAAGCACATTGGAAAAATAGAGGCTCCCGTCTTGGCCCTTGGTCACACGTTCACTCTGTTCTATGTGCTTCAAGTCTGCAGATGAAGGGAGTTTGAGGAGTGGCGTTTAAACGTCTTTTAACGGCCAGCAGGCCAACATAACTGGACTGATAGATGGATAGTGAGACAGAAAGATGGAAAGAGACAGAGAAAGAGACTAAGTGACTAAGGGACAGAGATGACGAGATGGTGAGAAAGACAGAATGACAGAATAACAGAGAGAGAAAGACAGAATAGCCAGGATATATAAACTCACTTCTATCCATCCAGTGGATGTGAGGCTTGGTTGTGCTGAAAGGAGGATTACAGTACAAAATGACTTTGTCTCCTTGTTCTACCTTGATTTGCACTTTCTTCTCCTTCGCCAGAGTGGGAGTACCTAAAATATACAGAGGCAGCTTGGCACAAGCAATATGATCCTGCAATGATTAAAAAAATTGACTGATTACACCAGAATAGCTATAATAAAGATCATTATAACAATAACATGAAAAGAATGTATTATTGTCGCATGGTATTACAAAATGATTGTGATGCCATTCAGTTCACAATCTGCATTTCTCTTGTAAACACAGATGGTTATCGATCCCCAAAGACCGATCAAGTTCACGTCACCACGGAGATGACTGCATGACATCATCTCAACCTTGTTTCTAAGGAGCTGTTGTCAAGGAAACCGAAGGGGATGACATGAGAGAGACAGGTAGATGATATTCTTCATGTACTGGAAAAGGTGTAGTCTGACGTGGGAAGCATTTCCAGGAAGATCACATCAATATTCAAATTTCCTGTTTTTATACGGAGTAGCAACAGATCTGCTCTATATAGACAAATACATCATCTGCATTTCTTTATACTTACAGAATATTCAATCATGGATTGTAGATTTTATGAGAACTATAATTTTCCAGTTTTTTTCTATATAACTCCTTTATATGTGAGAATTTATTAGTGACCATATAGACAGCATTTTGCTCCAGAACATGCTGGTTTCTGTGTGTGTTCATAAAAAATGTGGTTGTACTTGTATTTAATAGCTAATTTTCTGTTAAATATATCAATGCTGAAGGTGGCTGAGAATATAGCCACTGCTGGTTACCATCATGCTTTGCTGTGTTTGTTTTTGGGCTGAAATTGTGGCTATGATTCTAATAAATTATAATGTACCTTTTCAAAGTCAAAGCCAAATCTCATGCATTTTGATTAGAATGTTCCAGAAAACTCCACCACCTGCTTTTGGCAAGTATTATCTTACATAATAGCTTACCCTCTGTTGAAAAAATACACAGGAGTGTTTCTGCAACAAGCTAAACGCGGGGGAAGGACAACAGCAAACAATTTGTGTGAGATGATGAAAAATTTCTGTATACTTAGGCAGTATAAGGTATATATTTTGAATGGGGCCTTTCTGGATGAGAATTCATCAGCTCTAAGTAGAATAATAGAAACATTCGAATTAGTAAATCATGAAAAGTTCAATAAATGTCCTTTAGTCACCACTGCATTTTGATTGAGTCAATTTTGATTGGTGAACCAACTGATAATAATAATAATAATAATCATCATCATCATCATCATCATCATGTTCTAGATTTTCTCATTTGGAAATGGAAAAGGCTATATTCTGCACCAAAACAGCCAGAAAGACCATGACTCACTCTCTGTAATGAGTCTGGCTTCCGTAGAGACGGCAGTGCCCAGCTCATTTGAGGCATAGCAGCGGTACCTCCCCTGGTACTGGCTGATGGGTCCTTCCCCCGAGATGCTGAAACTTCCGGAATTTTCTGATACTGATAGCCGGGGGTCTGCGGCAGGGTCAAACTGCTGTCCGTCCTTTAGCCAGCGAAATCTGACCCAGGAGAAACAAGAGAAAAATAGGAAAGGACATCAAGTAATAAACTGCCTGGAATGAGTGAGCGAGGATGTATTTTGTGGAGGTTATATGGAGCGTAGATGAGGACGGCTTTTGTTAATCACACCGCTGACAGCTTGGTTTGACTATTGAATACTCAATGAGTGTACAGTACTTTACAAAAGTTTTCAGAATTCAAAGAACATGCTGTTTAAATGATCATGTTGGAGTGAAACTATAATATTATGTCTGTCGAAGGGTGATAGCTTAACCATTTCAAAACTGCTCCTCCCAATCCATGTAATTCTCGATTCGACCACTAGCACACCTAATATGGCTAATCAGTACCTCACTTTTTAAGTAATTAAATTAATTAAGTGGGGTGGCGGTGACAATAAACCAATGGGCCAGTGTTAGGCAGGGTTCCGCTAATCTCTAACCGCTAATCAGCGAAGCTAACTTTTTCGTTAGTCGAGTAGTGTTTCGGCTAACTTTAGGAACTGTTAGCGGACCAGTCAGCTTCCGCTAAATTCAGTTCCACAAACTGTGAATCCACTAACATTTTTTTGCAGGTAAATCATGCATATTTGTTCTGGTCTGTTTTGGGCCTGTCCGCAACAGTCTATAACAGGGGTGTCAGCCCTGTAAAGCTTTTATCTTTATCTGTTCCACCAGAAATGATTCAGCTCAAGAGCTGCGTGCTAATTAGCACAAGGAGGTACAAGGAGGTGCAAGGAGTTGAATCAGGTGTGTTAAATGAGGGGAAACCCAAAAATGTGCAGATCTCTGACCCTCCAGGACTGGAGTTTGACACCCCTGGTCTATATACTGTATATACGGCACACTGTTGGCTGACTACATGCAAACACAAGACAGGATTGTTCAATAATTGGTATTTGAGGTAGTCTGGGCTAAATGTAACTTAACGAAGATAAAGTCCATTTAAACTTCCCTGCACTAAGTGGAGAACTGGGGCCTTTATCACAAGTGTGTGTGTGTGTGTGTGTGTGTGTGTGTGTAAAAGATTTCTCATGTGGTCCCCTTTGGAGAACACCACATAGCCAGTGGCTCCCTGGTAATTTGTGTCTGAGACCCCTGGCCTAAGACTTTTGCACAGTACTGAGTGGACACTGTACTGAGTGGACACTGTACTGAG